TTTTACTGCCTCCATTCTCTGGGTCAGTACATTTGTCTTCTCATCAACCTTCTTCAGCTTTTTAGTTGTCTTCTGTGTTCTTGCACTAGTTTCTTTGAGTTCTTTTTGTAGAGCTTCAAAGTTATTGTTCAAGTTAGTCATCTGGTCCAGTAGAGGGCACAGTGCTGCAGTAATCATCTTGGAGATATCTGTGGTTACTTCCAGTCTGGGGGCCAGAGACGATGAGCTAGCAGTTCCTGAAGAAGCTTTCACTCTGGGTGCCATTTTTCACTCCAATGAGACATTGTTTACATTAAAGGTAAAAGTTTTTTACTGCTTCTGAAAGTTTTTAAAAGTACACAATTTCTACTAATCTGTACACCAGTCAGTTGAGTTAACATTCTCCCATCAAAGCTGCCGTTTTGCCCCTCACTTTCTTTTTCGGCTGCTCTTTCCGGGGTAGTGTAGCCCCCCCTTGCTGTATTTGGGGCTACGCTGCGGTTTTGTGGGTTACATCTAGGCGCTTATGCGAATTGCCAGGTAGTCACTCATGCTTTGCTTCTTGGCTTGCGCCCCAAAGCAGGGAAATTCTCTTAACAGGGAAATTCTCTTAACACCAGATCTCCTGCTCGCTCGTTTCAGTATGCTTCTTTAATCCCATGGCTGGTCTCGCATCAGCGGGACCTATCAGGGTAAAGGAAAGCCTCAATCCCTTGGCTGTCGCCTTGGGAAAGGCTTCCCTCACACCCCAGGCTACGAGCAACCTGCAAGGGCTCTGGGGCCCCCCGGAATGGTCTGGGGCCCCTCCCATCTGGTGCAATTGCGGGCTGCTCTCATCGGAGCTACGATGGAGTGCACCCACCAGCAAGACACCAAAGCCAGAAACTGTCCTTGGGCACCACATTGAGGACCCCTGCATTAGATGCATGTTCTTCCACATATATTTGGCAGTGGCAAGCTCCTAGTAAAAGTGTTTGGGGCCTGGAGAAGTTGGCAGGAGACTATGTCCCCCCCCCCTTTCCTGACTGAAAGTTTCTTGGCAGGTCATCAAAACGGAGAGTACATATTAATTTAAAGCATAACACTTACTCTCAAGGCTTGTGGTTTAGAGAGCAACCTTTCTACAATAACATGACAAAAAAATCAGTAAAAATTTGCAATACTGGCATGCTATACACTTTGGACAAATACTGTCTCAACAGAACTGTTCTACCTTGTTTTCTTGAGACAGTATTGGTTGTAATTTTCTTTTATCTTTTATCCTGACAGTAAAATTCTTATACTTGTCTGATTCTCGTTGATGTGATTTTTGAGAACAGATGCTAATGGAAGTAAATTGTTGCTATAAGATGGGGGGGGGGCAGCAGATGTATGTATTTTTGTGAGTTAGTAGAAAAAGCTGTGCTTCAGTAGAAAATATAAATAGTTCAAATAATAACCAAGAATATTGTTTTAATTGTATATGATAAAAAGTGATACTATCATCACTGGATGCCTGTATATGTGTGCTGACCTAGTAATTTATATCTGAAAAGTAAAAAAAAAGTGAATTCTCAAATCTTCAAATATTAATCAACATTAATTTACTCCATTAGGGTTATCTGAACATGACTAGGATTAATGAACTAGAGTGCTGAAATTTGACCAGAGAGACCTCTTTTTCTGTCTCCTTAACATAGATCATAGGGAGATTTGTAAAGATAAAACTGGGAGGAGGATGGGGAACAACCTTACTATGAGCCCCTCTGAGGAAGAGTGAGATGAAAATGTGATCACGCTTATGTGTGTGGTAAATCAAAGTTTACTGTACCCCATCTGTATGTTTCTTAATCCTAATGTATTCCCTGAAGTGGATGAGAGATCTCAGGACTCAAGATCCTGATGTATATAGTCAGTCTTTGATTATTATTTTTTGTTAGATTTGCTATGATAGTCCTTGGCAGAGCTTCTGCACCTTTAAAAGATGCATAGGAGGGAAAATGCCATGTGATGTGGCTCCTGATATTAGTGTGGTAAAGTAATTGTGAAAGCTGCACCTGACAGTGTGGCTGTCTTCCACATAGCAATAATATTCCTATGGGAAGGGAAGCATGTTTTAAGCTGACATTGCTGCATGTTTGAAACATCCTTCTTATACCAGTGGTGCTAATTGTAAATATGTTGTTTCACAGATATTATTAAAGAACAGAACAGAGATTTGCGAGGTACACAGAGGGCCATCGTCAGAGATCGAGCAGCTTTGGAAAAACAGGAAAAGCAACTGGTAAGCAGAATACAAACTTTTAGTTCACCTTCCACGGTAGGTGGCCAAACTGGTTATGGTAAACATCTCACATGTTATCATAAAGTCGTTTGCTGTCTGTCCTCTCTACCACTAGATTTCTGGAAACATTGGGCTGGATCTAAAGGTCATCTTCTATGGCCAGCACAAGCTGCCTTGCATTAGAGGAAGGTTCCACCATTAATTGAATGAAACCTTTGGGATCCATACTCTCCTCACACATGCCACTGGAAAGCAAGCTTGGTTGTTTAACATTATTTGATTCTCACAGTCACTTGCTGTAGTTGTGTGTGTGTATGTGTCCCCCCATTGGTTACTTTTCCTGAAATAAGTAAATGAATAATGCTAAGGGATGGAAAACATGTGCATACTAAAAGAAGATTTCTTTTTTAATAAATAGGAATTGGAAATAAAGAAAATGGCTAAAACGGGAAACAAAGAAGCCTGTAAAGTTCTGGCCAAACAACTCGTGCAGCTGAGAAAACAGAAAACTCGAACCTATGCAGTTAGTTCAAAAGTAACATCCATGTCTACTCAAACAAAACTAATGAACTCTCAGATGAAGATGGCAGGAGCAATGTCAGCAACAGCAAAGGTAACCCACAGTATGCCAGCTGCAGCTCATTTTCTTAATTGATGCTAATGGACAGTAACTATCTTGGTAACAATTGGTCACTGTTTCTTTCAATTTACAGTGAAGATTTTGTATGTTGGTTTGAGGAGATTAAGCTCAGATTATTTAGCTGTCTGAGGCCTTGCTAAGTAAAGAGAGAGTAATACGTATGTTTATACAACTTTTGAAGTAAGTGTTTCAGAAGTGCTTGTATACTCCATAAGCTTTTTCTTTTCTGACCTTAATTCCTCACTGTCACTTAGTTCTTTAAGTGTAAGTCAGTGCTATACATGCATATGAACAACTGTTTTCCTTGATGACTCTTTAACAATGGGTGGGAACAGGCTGTATGTACAAGCAATGACCATGTTTTATGGGACAGTCTCCTAGCTGCTCTGAGCTTTAAAGGGGCAAGAAGTGGCAGGTGTAATCAGGCTGGGAGTTGTGGGATACCATTTTGCTACTTGCTCATCTAGGAATAATAGTCTTTCATCTTGAAACATGGATAACAATGTTGTGAATTCCATGCTGGTATTTATATGACTTACATTTCTATAACTTCAGAACAAAAAGAGTTATGTGGAAAAAGAATGACTTGCATCATGATCAACCAAGAAGCCAGATTTCCAGTGTGAAGGCAAATGTTCTGTACTGCATTGATAATAGGCCTTCTGCCATTGGCCACGGTTTATAGCCTTAGATTGTATGACAGACCCCCTGTTACTCTATCCACTCTGAGGCAGATCTTTCCTGCCAAAATTCTTAGTTTCCTTCAGGTACTGAGCTAGCCCCCTAGTAAGTAAAGGTAAAGGTTCCCTTGCTCGAAAGCCAGTCGAGTCCGACTCTAGGGTTGCGGTGCTCATCTCCGTTTCAAAGCCGAAGAGCCAGCGCTGTCCGAAGACGTTTCCGTGGTTAGCGTGATAATATTACCCCGCTTGTCAGAAGAAAACAGGAGCCTTCTTTTTAGATCCCTTGAAATGGCACTGGAGACTGTGTACAGTGAACGATAATAAAGATTTTATTTAATAGGCAGGGATGCTATGGGGTAGTTGGGAATTGGAAAGGTTGAGGTAGACGTTGGTAAAACGGTATATTTCAGTTGACAGACAAGATGGTGTTGTAGCAGCTTATTTTTACAAATTCTTGGTTCTTATCAGTGAGAGATGGTTGACTGAGTAGTTTGGTTTCAGTAACAATGTTTCTGCATAAAGTTTCCTATTAGCTGTTCAGGTTTTCTGGAAAGGTACTGTACTTAGTGTATCAAATTCTTTCCCCTTTTCTGAAATCACAACGTGTCTTTTCCCCCCTAAAGAGTTTATAACCATTTCTTTTCACAATAGACTAGGGACTGCCTCAGTGCCAATTCCCTGTATAACTGGACAGGATTTATATTTCTTTCCTGAAAATATAATTCTGCTAGGAAGAAGGCTTGTTGTAGAGGGAAGACAACGAGCTCCGGAAGGAAGGAAGGAAGGAAGGAAGGAAGGAAGGAAGGAAGGAAGGAAGGAAGG